AGGCTCTGAATCAGTTTCCTCACCCATAAATTATGAAAAATAATACATACTTCACAGATAATACATGTGGAAGCAATTCCTAAACTCAGCAGCACTAAACAAATATGTTATTATTGTGAGACTGTCTTCCCATGGCAGATTTTTTTACCAAAGAGTGTGACACTTGGACACCATGCCATAGGAAGATTGATTTTGTGACAGTCCATGGGTGGATGGTTGGAGAGAGGTTGGAGGCCAGAAGATTTAAAGTCGTTGACTCTATAGTCCAGACAAGAGGTAATGGAGCTTGGACGAGGGTTGAGGGCAGTCAAGTGGAAAGGAAAACCCAGTCCAGGTTATTAATGAAGAGAGAGGGAGTATGATGACAATGGTCCTGGGAAAACAGTGGACAACACTGGCACAAACAGGAAAGTATGGTGGCTAGGTACCTGGAGCTGGTGATGAAAGCTGTAAACATAGATGAACTCTTTGAGAGAGAAGGAACAATAAGGCTAACTTCAGGCATTCTAGAAAGAATACTGAAGGGAGGTATGGAATAAGGAGACAGGAACAGACTACATATAACTTCTTCAAAGTGGCTGATCCTTCAATTACTGGTACTTCTGTAAATTTCCAGAGGGACCAAGAGGAGAGTGGCAACCATGAAACAAAGAGCAAATCGGGATGAGGGCCTGGAGGGACGTGCACAACTTGGTGTTATCTTCACCAGTGTCTTTCTCCATGTAGATATGGATCCTGCCTGCCCAAGCAGGATGCCAGCCCCTCAAAGGCGTCTGGTCTTACAAGTTTCTAGAGTCTTCTCAGAACCAATCTCTGCACCTAGCAAGTGGTCAGAAGATACTGCTTGCTCCATTGCTCTAAAAGGAGAGGCTCGGGGCAAGAAAGGAAAGTTACTTGGTGAGGTCTAGGCTGAAAGACAGGCTGAGTTTGTCCAGCAAACTTTTAAGAGTTTGGAAGCAGTCACTAACATTTAAAAATCAGGAGATTTCAGATATAATTCTAGGCCTTTTTTCCCCCCCTGGGAGACTGCCCATCAGGTGAATCTGTAGTCTTGCAGGCAATAAGCATTCAAACAAAGGTAAAGCCTAAAAGACCTTTTGGAGGCTCGGGGTCAATGAATCCTCAGAGAAAGCATGACTTCTGCTGAAGGGAAAGTGTAGTAGTCACTTTCGTAGATAGTGCCCTGGAGGCCTAGAAGCAGGAGCCATTAGCTCTGCTTGGGGGAATTCATGAAGGTTTTCCAGAAGAGGTGATATCTCAGCTGAGTCTTGATGGATGAGTATGAAGGATCTGTCCAAAGAATGGAGGGGAGTGAAAAGGTGTTCCTAGCAGGGGCAGGGTAAGGGTGTGGGCATGATGGAGAATGATGACATGTTCTTGTGGGGCCGAGCACAAGATACGGGGCTGGAAAGGGCCAGGAAGAAAGCTGGTAATGTAGACTCTGGCCCAAGAGCCAAGATTCAGATCTGGGGGATGACTTGGGAATTGATCTGGAAAGCAATGGGGTACCAAGGGGGAGAGGGGCAGGGTTAAGCAGGGGAGGGACATTGTTCACGTGATGTCAAAGGCTCACTCTGATGGCTGCGGGAGGGCTGGGCTGGGTAGAGGGAGAGACTAGAGGGCTGCAAGACAACCACCCACGCTAAGGGAGGAAGCCTCACTGGCACATTTGGCAACCAAGGTAGCTCCCCAGGAGGCCGAGAGAAGGGCCCTCAAAGCTGAGAGAGTGAACCTGACTCAACTAGTTCTTGGCTTGGAAGACACTAAGTACATCCTCTGTTCCCCCTGCCCACCAGCGAATGTACCCCAGTGCTGGATCAGGAGAAATGCATCCCCTGGGAAAACCAAGCATACCGTGAATACATTCTATGTCAGCAAGCCTTTGCACATGAGCCTTACCCAGTACGCTAAACCCTAAACTCTTTCTGGCTTGTCTATCCCCCCTTCCTCTAGGGCTGAGCAGTATCTGACACCTAGTAGGTGTTTGATGAACATTTATCAATCTGAAATAGGGACACTCATGTGGGATTTAGTCTGAGGCCTGATATTTTTCAGTCTTGATTCAGCCACTTCAAGAGCTCCGTGGCTGTGGCCCAGCCACATAACTTCAGTGAGCCTCAGTTTGCTTATCTATTTTAAAAATCACTAAAATTTTCTAAAAGTGTGAGAGTGGACCTGGAAGCCCTTTGCAAACGCTAAAGTACTATATGCCCAAAAGTGGTCCATGGGTAAAATGAATACTATTTAGCCACAGAAAGGAAGGAAGTGCTGATACGTGCTACCACCTGGAGGGATCTTAAGAACATGATGCTAAGTGAAAGAAGCCAGACACAAAAGGCCACATATGACATGATTCTTTTTATATGAAATGGCTAGAATTGGCAAATCTATAGAGACAGAATGGAGATTGGCAGCTGCTAGGTGCTGGGGGAAAAGGCGATGGACTTTGATTGCTTAATGTGTTTCCTTTTGAGATGATGAAAATATTTTGGAACTAGATAGTGACGGTGGTTGTACACCATGGTGAATATATTAAACGCCACTTAACTGTACACTTTAAAATGGTTTAAATGGGAACTTCTATGTATGTATCTTATCACAATGTTAAAAAAGTCCCCCCAAAGGGCCAGATAAGGGTTAATCATCCTGAGAAGTTGTTGAATCTTGCATTCTACACGTGGTCCCTCACTCCATTTTTTGGCATTCAGAGAACTTACAGAGTAGGTGTGTTTCCAGCGCAGAGGGAGGGAAGGAGGAGCTTCGGGCCATCTGAAAAGGGAAGCTGGATGGTTTTTGTTTTGTCGATTGCCAGTTGTTCACCCTGTTTGTATTTAAAAGAAAGGAGGCTTTGAAGTGAGAGCCGCCTCAAAGCAGGGCTTGGGGTTCCTGCCTTGTGTGGTAAAGTTCAGACTTGTCCTGATCTGTTTCTAGCCAGAGGTTACTGTTTCTGGTGGAAAAGGCTCAAGTTTTGGTTAATCATCCATGAACAGGAAGAGCCGGAGTTAACTGGGGGGCCAAGAATGAGTCCCCCCTGAACTTGGTGTGAAAGGAAGCTTTCACTCATTTTGGGCTTCAGAGTTTGGAAGTACCTTTTTCTCGCTTATGGTGGCTGGGTTTCATTTTGTTATTAATGTCAGTTGCATCTATTCTCTTTGGTAAAGAACATCTTCAAGTAAATGCATCAGTCCATTAAAGTTAAAAGTGCTGGACTAAGCCCTAGCAATGCCTTGAGGACCTGAGGGTTATCAGTTTGAGGAAAAGCTGGACTATTTGAAAGTCCCTGGAAATGGCAGGAAATTCATTTGCAGTTGAGTTTGCATATTTAGAAAGACTCCTCTCCTAGTTGCAGTGTTAAATGTTCTGCCAAGCCACAGAAATGGGAAATTGTAAGTCCCACTTAGAGACGGGTCACAATCTGTCTGTTTATACTGATGATCTCCAAGAGTTAATAAAATGTAGAAGAGTCTGCAGTGGGCTTTCAAAACAACAGTTAGCTAGTTTCTACAGCTCCTCACAGCCAACCAAGTCAACGGGGTTTACAAACAACAGTGGAGGAAGTCTCAGCAAACCCTATGAGGGCGATAATTGTAATGATGGTTCATATCTTCACCCTATGTAATTTTATGGGAATTGAGAGTCTAGCCAAATAATAAGTTCCAGCCCTTTTTATCTGCCTAGTTCCCAGCACACTCCCGAGGTGTCTGAGGCACTTCTCACCCTAACCTGTTACAGCAGATTGTAACAATAACAACGGTAATGACAAGTTCCCAATCTGCACAGTTCCCTTCATTAAAGGAGCCCAGGGAGCTTCAAAAACACTCATTAATGGAATCTGACAAAGCTTAGAAGGTGGGAAGACTCACCCATTCCCAGTTTTTGGGGGGCTAAGGAGAGACCAGGTCCCAGAGAGATGTGTCTCTCAAGAGACTTGAAGAGGGAGGGGAACTGGGGGTCCTGGGCTACCTTTATTCCTTGCGACCTGGGAGTCAGGTCCCGGGTTCTGGAACCACCCCTCGCCCCCAAAACTGCATGCTATTAGCAAGTCACTTCCCTTCTCTGGGCCTCAGTTTCCTTCCGTGCAGCAGGGTTTGAGCCAGAATGTTTCCAAGGTCAACCCTGACTTTGACCCATCGCCTGGCGGTGGAGGGCGGGAGGGGGGAATTGTTTCTCCCGCTTCAAGGTTTGGTCAGACTTGTAGCACAGCCAAGCGGCGGCGGCGGCGGCGGCGGGGGCGGGGGCGGGGGAAGGGGAGAACGCCTGCCAGGGTTCCAAACAGGGCGATGCGCCACAAACACCGTATGATGGAAAGCAGGTCTGAGAAGGCCAGGTGACGCTCTAGGGCCAGCTTGGAGTCCCAAGTCCCTCTGGTGCCCGCAGAGAAACAATGAGAGTAATGCCAGTGTTTCCCCCTCCGAGCCCCGGAGCTGGGCGGTTAGGAGGGTCCTCCAGGCTGCGGGGCGGCAGCGGCGGGGGGACGGGGAAGCGGAGGTAATGAGACAGGAGGGCTCAGTCCGGCTTTGGCCCGCGGGCAGCGGGTCAGGTGGCCGCGAGCAGAAGGCCTGTGACTCGGACATGGGCTTCGGGACAAGTCCCCAGCCGCTCGGTCCCCCGGGACTCGGGCCTCTCACCCCGGAGAAGTTAGCCTTTCCTCTCCGGGTGGGGGGCGGCGGGCAGGCTCACCGCCTCCCGGGAGGAGGGAAGGAGGGAAGGAGGGAGGAGCCCGGCGGGGCGTGTTGCGCGAGGGAGCGCCGCGCGTGCCGCCGAGAGTGTGTCGCGCGCGCACCGACCGTCTCGTGTTCTCCGCCGCTCGCGCTCCGTCCCCGTCCGTCCTCGTAGACGTCGCG